AAAGGCCCACTACAGGACAACTTAAACTTAAGTATAGGCTAATAAGAACTCTTATCAGCCGAATACTCATACATACAAAGACTTCAATCCAACACAGCCTTCTCCCCCTTCCCTATTAATTCTTCCCCGACCTCCCTTTGCTCTTCCTCAACAAATTCTTCTTCCCTCCCTTCTCCTTCCACCCATATCTCACCCCTTCCCCGACTATTTTCTTTTTGTTATATTCTTCTATTTTACTTCTTTCAAATTGTTCAATTGCCTTCCTCACCAGCCCTTTCCCCCTAGAAAGAAGAGGCCAAGAGAGTTACCGATCTCCACTTGTCTATCCACTAGCTAATCAATACCCACCTTCCCCTTCTCAGGGTTCTCTTCTCCTGTAACCTCAATAGCTTCAGGCCCCAAAATCTCCGCACCCCTCCTTATTTTCCTTTTCGCCCTCCTCCTGCTCATCCATTTCTTTCCTTTCAACCCTTTCCCCTATAGCTCCTTTTACCACCGATCTTCTCTTTCTGTTATAAACCCTCTGTTGATCGTTCTCCACTCTTTTCCTCTTTAAACTCCTTTCCCCTTTATCCGCTCCATCAAACCACTAACCCCCCAACTCTTCTCTAATAGAGCCACCCCAACCCATTGAAGAAGGTAGAGAAGATGGAAAGCCATGAGAATCCAAGCATACCTAGCTGTTCAATTGTGCAATAATTTCCAAAGATTTCTCTTCTATGATTTGTCTGTCAACACTCTCCAACGTCAGTCTAGGTATCCCCAGACTTCCACTCGTTAAATCTCATTCAACATATTCTTTTTTCCCATGGCCAAACTTCTCGACTTCGATTCACCTCTCGAGCGATCGATCCTCATTCGAAGAGATACCCTTGTGTGGTGAGATCCGCTTCTTGTACTTCTGGTTTTTAACCTTCCCCTTAATGATATTATTAGAGGTTGGAAAAGCATTGCTGCTTTTTTCCATGGCAAGGAATTCTATATATACTGACTGGTTCTCCCCACCCTCTCTAAGGGAGGTTGTAATAGAGAATATAGCAATCAAGGTAGCACATTGAGTTAAGATAGTGAACAATTCTACCCAATTCACCGTGATGATATTATTAAAGGTTGGCAAAGCATTGCTGCTTTTTTCCATGGCAAGGAATTATATATACTGATCGGTTCTCCCCACCCTCTCTTTATTTAAGTTCAACTTTGATGAATGCAACTTGGGCAATCAAGGAGCATCAAGAATAGTAGGTGTTTTCTGAAATGAAGAAAAAATATTATGACTATCATCTCAACACCAGTAGGCCATGGTGACTCCACTAGAGCAGAACTCCCAACCTCAATGCAAGGACTTAGAATGGGCTATTCTCTCAACTACAGCAACCTAATAGTGGAAGAAGACCTAAATTGGTAGTGGGGTGATTTATAAATGACAACTCGTGACCTTGGCAACACAAACATCTCATAAGAGAAAAAACATGGTTGGCAACATGAAAGGGTATAAGGTGTACTTGGACTCAAAGGTATGCTAATAACCTAACCAATATCTTGGCTAAATAAGGAGGTGAAAAGAAGCTAATTGTATTGGTAAAATGCATTTTAGTAATAAAAAACAATTTAGAAAAAGAACAAAATGGGTAAGGTGGCATGGACTAGCTCTATCTCAAGGGATGTCTTTCAATAGTTGTAGTTATATATCATTCTTTCACTATAATTAATAAAATTATGGTTGGTTATTGATCAAAAATTTCCCCTTGTTCGTATGCATGTATGCATATGTGTACGTGTGTGTGCATGCACATAACTGTGTGTGTGTGTGTATAAAAGAGGATGGAGGTTCAAATTTTTTACTTCTATAGTTGAGACAGATGTTTTTCGTTCAGTGACCGAGGTACTTCTCCCCATCCACACAAATATCTCAGTATCACAATCCAACATATAGCACTTGTCTGAGTTAAGCATTTCTTTCTTCAATGAATCAGTACCAACTTGACATAATTTTCCCTGAAAAGAAATCCTGTTGATACAAGAAGTGTAAGGAAATTTAAAGAAATAATACCATCAAGTAACTACAACTGATGGGACTCAATTAGAAACTTAACTAGAACTGTGGGTGAGTAAACTTGGGCTCATTAATGCTGATAAGTGATGATCTAGCCAGAAAACTCAAATTAGTGTATGAGAAGCCAAAATTTCCAATCCATACCACTAAGTTATAAAAAATAAAGCTTATTCTTAAACTTACTGATTACTGACTACTGAGTCTTTTCCTTTGGCTCTTGGTGGGAGGGCTCTGTCCCTATTACTAGGTATAACACTGTCAAGGAAGGTAGGGGGTTTGTCTGAAGGTCTTTTCTGGTTTAAAAAACAAAAAACCATTACCCAATGTTGGTCCCAGCTATCTGGGGTCTTGGGAGGAGTAGACTGGATATGGCCCTAACCTTTTGGCGTTTTTTGCACGAAGTGGCAGCTCTTGGACTCAAACCCACATTCTTACACTTGACAGCCCAAGATTTTACCATTACACCAAGTAATGGCATCTTCTCTGCTGACGTTTTTTAACTTTTCATAAAAGAAAATAAAATGTTTTAAACTTGTCAACATGGAAATACCTATTAAAACGGCAAAGTTTTTTATTCAGATTCCCATATGTATATATGGCTGCATTTGGTAAGGGTGGAAAAAGCATATGTATCAATGTAAATGAAATTTTGGTCAGAAAGTACAAATGCAAACTTGATTCAGTTTATGCATTGATAAATTTTGTATTGAGTTTGGTTGCAATGGGTATAAACATGAATTTCAAGACTGGAATGTACTTATTTTACATTGGCCAACTATAAGTGTAAAGTTTGATTCCATTTTTGAATGCAAACTTTGCTCCCATTTTGAATGAAAAAACATCTAAAAAACAAATTTACTTTCATTTTCAGTACAAAGACGTATTCTTACCAAACAACTGCAAAACCAAACCAGAGTACAAATTCACCTTAGTTCTGCATTTGCACTCTTACCAAACACGGACTATAGGTTTTATGGTCTCTAAGACCAGACACACAAACAAGTCAAAATTAGTATATAATTGCATGATCTGAATATTACCCACCAGAATAGCTTCACAGGTTGAATTTCAGGTTTCTGAATTGTAGGTAGTGTGCCCTGAGTAATTGGAGCATAACCACCGAATAAACTCCAAAACTCCCCAACATCAGAATCACCAACAAATTTGCCATCCTCTACACCATAAAAAGGAACAATTAGTATTTGCAGCATCAAATACCTTTAGAAACCATGGTACAAATGTATAATCATACCTATGGTTGCCACTTCACAACTTCCACCATGCTTGTTGTCTTTGATATACTGGACAACCTCCAAAGCTTTAGCTCGTTCTTGTATGCTAGAGTTGCATCCACTAAATAGAAATATTTTTGAAGCAGTATCGAGTATAAATACATCGTTGTGATTCAAGGAGGATCGAGAAAAAGGCACCTGGGCAAATTATAACTGTACTTAGACATAGGATAGTAGGACAAGAAAATTTTGAGGTGTTTCCAATGTAGGACCAATTGAGAACAAAACAAGTACATGGAATCTCAAATTCCTGGATGCAACATCATAACTCAAAACTTAATATGATTGTAAGAACTTGACTTGTGCAATTGAAGTAGATAACTTGGATCCTCAATTTCATTGCTAATTTTGCTTCTATATGACTAAAGATGGTTTGTTGTGCTATGTAACCATCATATACCATTGAGATTTAAAGGAAAACTTATAAGACAACCATAAGACCAGCGTTTTTATTATAAGAAAGTGCTGGACATTTGGACAATCAATAAACAACATTTTCAAACAATGACTGTAGCTACAATGAGAATGCTGAGATGGATGAATAACAAAACTAGAAAAGATAAAATTAGAACAAGTGCATTGGTGAAGAATTAAGGGTAGTACCAATTGATGATAAGATGAGGGAAAGTCAATTGAGATGGTTCAGTCATATACATAGTAACATAGATGGCTAGTGATGGAACCGGTGAGAAGTGACTCAGTGCAAGTATAAGGCCCAAAAAGAACAAGGAGAAGAACAATGATAATATGAGCTGAAGTGGTAAGAAATAATCTAAAGAATTACAATTTGACAGAAAACATCGCTCTTGATAGAGCACAATGGTGTGACAGGATTTCTGTAGCCACCTCAATTTTAACTTTAACCATGCCAAAATTGAATTCCATTGATTCAGAGATAAAAAGTGATTTGGAACAAATTGAAGGTTCCAACAGGATAGAAAAGATTTCATAGTTCATTGTTTACAGAAGAAATGGTTTAAGAGCAAAATGGAGGAGCATGGTCACAATTCTGGCCTGACCTAGGTGGGAAAGGGTGATGCTGATGATGATGCATATCTATGAAATATGTAATAAATTAGGTGCTAGGAAAAGTATTAATCCCTAGATGATCATTGAAGAAGATAATAGTCTTAGAGTAAAATGGAGGAGCAAAATTCGTGCTGCCAAACCAATGTAAAGTGGGAAGGATGACCGCAATGCATTTCTATAAAATATTTAAGTCAGACAAGTAGGAGGAATATCAAGCATAGAAGATCATTGAATATTGTCTTATAAGTCAAGTGGACATTTTAACTAATCCAAATGATTGTGGACTTACTGACATTGTCCAACTATGCTCGGAGTCTTTGGTAGAATAAGGTTTACCTCTTTCACATAAGCAACATGGTCTCCCTTGCATGTTAACAAGATAACCCGGTAGGTTTCACTGTTGGAACGTCCCAGCTCTGATGAGAAAACCCCATTAAGGGGTATAATACAGGGTTTAAAATATGACAAGAACTTTTCTGTTTCTTGACCTTGAGCTTCCCTATATTGCACAGCATAAGACCCCAGGGATGCATCTAACTCAAGCGCTTTGTCTGATGCCATAGCCATGTCAGCCTGTCAATTCAAGAATCAATACTAGAACCCTTTGCTAAAAGGAGTCATAAATTTAGAAGGTTATTCAACTTTTGATTGTTTGTTACTCATAAAAGCTAGGTTGTGAATTTTATAGTCCCTCATGTAGATGGAAACTTCAATCTTTGAACAAAATAACAGGACATGTGATGCAAATGCAGGAAACTAGGAAGAGAGAGCCCAATCATTCCCACCGATTAATACATCCTATCCTAGGTTGATTCATTGGTTAAATGCCTCCCTCAACTATGAGCCTCTACTCTAGACTGCTCCAAGTTTTTCTTCAATATTTTAAAAGAATGTGCACTTTACACTTTCATTGGTTACGAGACTGCTTCCAACATTTTCTGGGCACCATCCAATCAGGTTGTGTTTTTAACTCACAGGAATCCTGGCTGGTAAAAAAAAAATTGTGCGTCTCATCTATCATATTGTATGCATATCATACTTCTAAATACTTCAATCAAAGATGGCAGCTAATGCCTAACTTGGATTATAGACTTGTTGGCAATTGAATCTGTTATCTGGAACATAAAAAAGATAGGAAAAGAAAAGAAAATACCTCTTTCGCATCCTTTCCCAACCAGTAATGTATATCATGCTGAGGAAGGCCATTTTTAAGCAAAACGGTCTGTCTCAGATGAAAAACACAGAAATGCCAAATTATTGCATAACAAAAAGGAAGCTGAATAGATTTCAATCAGGTAATCATAAGACATGGTGAAATAAGTTCAATACTCTGTAGCATTAGACAAATTTCTTACAGAAGTTGTTAGTGTCCTCTACTAATGACTTACATTCAGAATTATGTATGTGTTTCCTGAATAGAATTTCCCATGGGAAGACTTTGGCACTGGAGCCAACTGAAGGTCCTCTATACACCAGATTTCTAATCCACTAAAAAGCAATGAGAATTAAGGATAAAACAATAAACTTAAAAATATAAATGTATAAGCATGAACAATTGCCATATCATCTAGATGACAATATGTTCTGGACAAGGCATGTCATGGTAATGGTTGCTAAGGCATTTGAAAAAATGGTGCTGGTTTTTGTTTTGGGAGTGGTTGTTTAATGCAATCAGAGAGAACAAAAGAGATGTGAAGAAATTTTGTAATAAAGAGAAGCTTAATAGAACTCATGGCTCTAGTGGGACCCACCAGGGATGCCACCTTCTCAGGACACTCAAGTTAGAATGGCAAGGATAAATTTTGTAATTTTTCTTTTAGGTCATAGTTAGATGGCCAGTTGGTCCCAATCTAGTTTGTCATTTTCCGAAAAATAACAGAAGAAGTAGACAAGCATAGAGAAATTATATGGGCACTCTTCAAATCTTCATCAAAGCTCAATTGATCCTAGCTTGCTTATCTCAACTTGACTGTATCTTCTTCTTTTCCTTCTTAATATAATCCAAGAAGATGAACACATTCCTTGTGTTTATAAACTCCACTCCTGTAACTGGATTCTTGGAAATATTTACATCCTCACATGGTTTAAATCCCAGTCAAGGTGATATCATTTCTTTTGTAGTGATATAAAAGTTTCACTGAAGAAAAAAGCGAGTACATGAAGGTGGAGAGGTATCACCTTCAAGAGAAAAGATAGACATAGAGAAAGCCATGCAATAACTTCATTTAATCATCATTCATCCCTCAACTGCATTCATAAATACAATGGCTAATACAAATGTAAAAGCATATGTGCTTGTTGAGTCAGATTATGTGTCAAGTCCAATATATGAGTGCATCTCTTTTACTGAAAGTGTTTGAGTGACACCACACTTGAATTTGGACCAAGAAGATCAAAAACCTTCTTTTGGTTTACCAAATATGTTCTAAAACCAGAGGAGGGTTCATTGCCTGCTGTAATGGTAAAATCTCAGGCTGGAAAGTATGAGAACATGTGTACAAGTCTGAAAGTGGCCACTTTGTGTCAAAAATGCCAAAAGTTAGGAACGTATCCATCCACACCACCCAGATAGCTGGGATCAGCATTGGTTAATGGCCTTTTGGCCTTTTTTATAGAAACAGTGGGACATAAGATAAGGAGAACATGAAAAATCCTAACAAAACGTAACAACTAAAAAGGATACAGTTTTGCTCCTGCACCCACGAAAGCAGCATCAATTGCTTTGTCATTTATAGACATCTTTTCTTACATATCCAAATCCGATATTCCAGAATGCATTTATGAAATACTCTTTCTGCGATTCAAATAAGAAGGAGAAAAGTTAAAGACCACCCAAAACAAATACAAATAAAAATGACAAACCAACTAAGAAAAATGGAGGGGCATAGAAAGCAACTAAACTTCTGGAACATTAAAAAATAAATAAACCTTATTGAGCATATGGAATAAAAAGATCTCATTTTGGAATTATGTGAATTTTGTTGGAATTGGCAATACCAGCGCAAGAAAGTTAGTAACAGAAAAATCATTTAAGTTGGGAGGAAGGGGCTTTAGGGGAAGTCAAGTGAGCAATACTCCTTGCAAAACTAATGATCTACAGTTGACTTTTTGGCAGCTCCCAGTAGTTGCAGAAGACTCTTAATGTTGTTTATGGGGTTACTGATGTGGGTCAGTTGCAAATAACTAATGTTTTAGATCACACCAGGGGCACAATGAATAATGTGAACAAAGCCGTAATCTCAACCTAGCTCTTTAGTACATTAATGAAGGAGTTACAGGTAGTTTGAGAAGGACAGACCTGAATATTTGAGTGCACCCTATAAGGGCCTTATATTACAATATGGGAATATGCCCAAATGGTTGCCATAATATGCTACAATTAGGATATATATGCAAAAGAGAAATGCTGGAGATAGATCATGTAAATGTCCTTTTGCATCATAACCATGATCTCTGTCTTGTTCGGTTCCCTTTATCCATATCAACACTGTCCAACTGTTTCACCAACCATCAAACGCATATGGTTTGATAAAACAAACTTATGAACTTTGTGTAAGTCACCCATGCATAAACAGCAAGGATGCAAACTTCAATACACAGTATAAGGTGTCCACCAAGAGAGTGAACATAAATTACTAAGAAAGCAAAGAAAAAATAAAAAACAATCTAAAGTTCAAAACTTCTAAGTTCTAAAGATCATTTGTCACTCTCACATCTAAGCAGAATTTGAATTTTTTTATGGGTATGAGGGAGCGCTGGCTCTGGAAACGCAAAAAAAAAAAACATGGTTGCAATGCAGTACGTCAACCAATTTAGTTGCATTGCAACCTCGATCTATAAACTGAGTTCAAGCTGAAAACAAAGAAGTGAAATGAATGTATCTACCTTCAAAAGAAAGTCAGATGATCCAAAAGAAAGAAACTGAGTTGGAGCTTTCAAGTTGAAAAATGGATCATTGAGGAGAAAACCTGAAGATTTAGATCGAGAGACGAACAAAAGGGGAAAAACCCTAGCGAGGACAATAATCAAGTAGGTTCTGACTATTAGGTTGTTCAATGAGATAAAAAGGCAAGAAATGGAGATAAATATATATTCTTATATTTTATTTAAAAAAGGTAACGGAAAGAAAAATAAAAAGCAAGTAGAGACGAACAGGAGATGCTCTCTGATTAAGAAAGTGCTGAAGAAGCATGCTTGCCTTTGTCATTAGTTTCCAGCTTAGCGAGGGCCCACGATTTGGAGCTTTTCCTCCCTGCGCAGAAATTGGCCCCGTGACTCTCAGCACGATGACGACGTCCCGCCAAATCGCCATTCGAGATGTTTTCCCGCTCAGCGGCTTTCCAACGAATTCACGAACCGACTCCATCCAAAATCCTCAACCGCTATCAGTTGCCAGGCCGAGTTTTCGAGCTTGGGCAAAGCTGACGAGTTACGAGGCCGGCCACTCCGGATCCAGTGCGTTTTGTTGCGACACGTCGAAAGCAACTTACGTCAACCAAAACTGATACCGGAAAAGCCTTATAATCAAAAGAAAATCGGTTGTCTTAGTTCATCTCATTTGCCATGAACTCCTAGAATAATAAAAAGAACAACCGGTATCAGGAGAGATCAGAATAGTAATATCTGCTTTGCCATGACGCTCGGAGGGAATTGACAGTCTGACAAGGATAAGACTTGTATCCTTTGCAATTAGGCTGGAGTTTTGGGTGCATGTTTTCTTCAAATGCTCGTACTCCAGAGCAGCCTGGTTGTCTGTACAACTCGATATCAACCCAGATTTTGTTCAAGGTGTTCACTTGTATGATATTATCAGACAATAGTGGGCGACAAAACTCGTTAAATAAGATAAATCATAGGAAAAAAAAAAGCTATTTCATGAATAAATTTATGATCATCTTTAGATTAATTTGGGACTGGGAGGCTCGAAATAGTAGATTCTTTAAAAAGAGACTGATCTCCACGGAGAAGTTACTGCACAAAGCAGGGCATTCTCAATATAGAGAGGATAAGAGCTCAGCTACTGGTGTAGCTCAAGTTCTTCCACAGTCTTGAAAATTCCAATTGTTTGTAGATGGGTCTTTTGATCCATGATCCATCCACTGGAATTGCTGCCACAGGTACTGTTATACTGAACCCAAATTAAGTGGTTGTTCACGCATCAGAGAAACCAGTGCTTGCTCGTGGAAGCCAAGAGGCTGAATGATGAGCCCTAATACATGGTCTTCCGGAGGCAATCGACAGTAAAATTGATAATGTATCTGTTTTTATTGTGATGCAGTAGCAGTTGTAAATAGTCTTATTGGTGAAGAACAGGATATGCAATGGTATGATAAGCCGTTGAAGGATGTTGTTTTACTTTTGAAGCTGCTATTATGGAGTAGAATGATGGTGCTCATATTATATTCTGCTTATTCCTTTGAGGAAAAGAAAAATCTAAACTCTGGTAGTCTGGTTGGAAAGGAAAAACCAACGAATTACAGAGGAGGATGGAACAACGAATTTATAACAAAAATACAGGGAAAAACAGACCCCTGAATCCAATGTCCCATTTTGTTTTGATTTTTAACCTAAAAAATAACTGAAAAGACAAATTTTATTCGGTTAAAGGTTTGAATCCGATGTGGAGTTCGGCCGATTCGATTTGAAGTTCGAGATGTCCTTAGGTCAAAACGTTGGATCGGATTATTTCGCAATGGATCTGGACGAAAGATTCTAATCCAACGTTATCCTTTCTGGGACAAGAATCTCCATCACCATAACCGTCGGGTATTTGCACTGTCTTAAAACTTTGGAAGAGAGTATTCACCAGAAGAATCTCCATCTCATATTGCTAGATTAACATATTATATATTATATAATGACCATGCATATGCATGTATATGTTTGACATCGATGCTTAAAAAAAAACGGTGATGTATATGTGTGGATTTAAAAACGGTGTTTTTTTTTCGTTTGAAAATATTAATGACAGTTATGACGTTTTTTTAGGCAATAATAACACCTAGTTTTTTATATATGTTTTTTACCGATACTTAATTATAGAAAGTTTGTCACTGCTACATCATGTTCTTTAAATCACGTCTTCTCAATTTCTAAGGTGTAGTTTGGAACACCGGTTTTTATAGAAAAATGGTTTCATACATGTTATTGTTTTTTGGAACACTGGTTTTTCCAATGTGGCACTAATGTGTCACTATTTTCTGGAGCATCAATGCCAAACACCACCCATATTTTGCCAAAATAATACATAAAATACTCACCGTTAGATGATTAGAGATAGCACACCTTCTTGGACCTTAGGCACATAAGATTCTATTTAATGGAATTAAGGAGGGTGCATCATCCAAATGAAGAGTCCGAATCTCTTGCCAACACATGATTTGCGAACACAGATAATGTTGGAAGGTGTTGGAAGGAATTTTATTGGTAAGTGATCCCAATTCCCAGAGAAATAATACTATTCGCGAGCTAGGGTTTGTTGGCAACAAAGATTGTACCAAGTTACCAACACAGTATTGACATGATGAATTCTCATCGGTGCCCCACATCACATCCCAATCATGTATTAGGAATGCCTCCTCATGACAAGTATGGGAGATGCTCCCAATGCACAATGAGATGTGTATGTGGAGCACCAATTTAGTAGGTGTTTGGCATCGGTGCTGGGAATATAGGCATGAAAAAACAGTGCTTGTTTTTTTGTTTGGAACTGGTGCTGCCAGATAAGCGTTTTCTAATAAAACAACACTGATTTTGTTTGGTACTAATGTTGACAGCAACATTTTCAATATTGATTTATATCATCCAATGTCTAAGATGATGCCACATCATTGCACCGCTAGTAGCAATGCACCGTTTTCTCAAAAAATATTGAATTTGGTATTGCTCCAAAGCATACTTTCCCAATTTCTAAGGCGTGGTCTAAAGTAACATTTTTTTTTCTGGAAAAATATACCAAACAAGGGGACATTGTTTGATAAACACCCACTTAAACTTCTGATATGAAATGTATCTACTGCAGGGTAAAAATTGAGTGGTTGGAAGAAGTAACATTAATTCATGCAAATATGCATGCAACCAGCAACATGATCCCCTCTTTACAACGTGTGCGTTCAAACTCCCAAAAGCTAACCTAGAGGGGATTGATGGGATACAAAAGAAATTTTCATGGGACAAGAGTGAAAAGCGACCCATTCACCTAATCAAGTGGAATACATTATGCAAATAAGAACAGGAGGATGGATGGGAAATCAAGAAATCAGAATGGATGAATACAGATTTCTGGGAAGCTAAAGCAAAAAAAAGGGAGCCCATGGGCTTGGAGAGGTATCTTAAGACATAAAGATACCTTGAAAAAGGGAATGCATTGGTTAGTGGGTGATGGGGAGAAAATCAACCCTGGGAGGGACAACTGGATTGAAGGACACCCTCCCATCAATAGGGAAGATGGAGATCCAACTGATGACTCAGTTCAAAAAGTAAAGGACCACATGGATGGTTCTCGGAAGAAATGGGATGATGCAAAGATCTGTCGTTTGATGGGAGATGAAAATTGGAACAAAAGAAGATGTAATGGTGCGGTACCCGAATCCGAAAGGAGAATTTGTTGGTGAGAGAAGACAATACAACCAAAAAAAAAATATTAAATACTTTGTTTAGTTTATGTGAGGAAATAGAAGACTGTAACCATATTTTCATTGAGTGTGAATTTGCTAAATAGGTATGGAACCTTCTTCTTCATTGGGAAGAGCTTAGGCCCTAGCAAGAAGGAGATAATGTGAGGCTATGGTGGGAAAGGATTCTTAGAAGCTCAAAGTGCAAACAGGAGGGAACCATGGAGTTCATTTCCTTTGTTCTATGGGGCATATGGAAGAATAGGAATGGCAAGATTTTCAAAGATAAAATCATCCCTCCAGCCACTCTATTCAATAGTGGTAGAGAAAGTTGGGAAGAGTGTAGTAGTCTCCTTATTCACATGGAAAGGGAGAATTTAAAAAGGAGCATATGGGTGCGAAGGATCTCTCCTCCAGGATATACAATCAAAATAAACTTTGATGCCTCAAGAAAAATTTATGGAGGGACTGCAATAGGGTGTATAGATGGGCCAATGCTAAAAAAATATCGATAACGCTTGGGCTTCCTTAGAGGCCCATGAAATTGCCAAAAGGTTTATAGGTACAAATATCAGCGTCAAAAGGGAATTCCAAACTAGTGATTGATTGCCTAAGAGGTCGATATTAGGGGTGTTAATGGACTAGTTTTGGATTGGACTCTGTCCAAATCAAAATCTATTTGGCCAGATTGAAGGGACTGATAAGACATATTGAATTTGGACAGACTGGACGAACCAGTATGACATATTGGATTGGACCTGGTCCATCCATAATGAATTTATATTAGATTGAGACAATATCTGATTCATTGATAGAAAATAAGAACATAGGTGTCAATAGACCAGGTTTGAGTTGAAACCAATCTAAATAAACAGAAATTTGAACAGACTGGACAGTCTCTGAACCAGTCCAAAATATTTATTGGACTGGATTGGACCAGGCCCATTTGTAATGGACTCACATTGGACTGGATCGGATTGAACCAAATCCAGTCCAATTGACACCATAGTTGAGATGTTTGGCAATACACTCATGTCTTAAGGGAGCCAACAAAGCAGCTGATTGTTTGGCAAACGCTGGTCATGAGGAGATCAACTCACTGGATGCATCGAAAGGCCAAGAGTTATCCTTCATTTGTTTTGCTGACATTTGTGGAAGGGCCACACAGTTCGGATGTCTTAATTTTTAGCCTGTTTGTTTCTTGTCTTTTGTGTTGGTTTGTGTTTCTTTTCTTTCTTGTGTTTTCCCATTTTATAAAAAAAAAGATATATTGTATGTCTATATATTATCCACATGTCTCATAAAAAATGGGATTTCTTTTTGCAAAATAACGGGGTAAGGCACCTTTGGTGGAGATGGGATTTGGTTATCACAAAATTGGTCCTCACACTGTACTCACAATACTTGCAGTCTGGAACATCTTTATATTTGTATATTTTCACTCATGGAAAGAGTTGTGAGAACAAAAATTGTGATGACTAAATCCAGATTTGTTTTGGTGCAAATGCATATATCTGGAACAGTTACCAATAATAAAAAAAAAATCAAGCCCGAAGCCTTGCCCGTGAACAAATGTAGTTTATATACACATTTAATATACAATCTATGACCCAATGATGGAATTAAATAGATTAACAATTCAACCACCCAAATCAAACGACTTTTGACTAGGTCAACAGTTTTTCCAAAATCCAAGTTTTTGGAGAACTAGGCCTAGAATCATGACCATGACCAGGTAGCATTTCGAAGTTTCCAACAGATCAACCAGCAAAGTCAATAAGTTGAAAACATTGGATCAAAACGGAGGTTTTTTTTCTAGGTTCGGTTTCCCCTGTTTTATAGTGAGTTAACCCATCACCTTAAACTTTAATCTTGGTGTACCACAAGTACAAGATGGTGTTATTTTGCCACATACTAAGGAGAGAGAGAGAGGCAAGGAGGGAAGGAATCTTCTAAATCGTTTTCTTCCATGTCTTCATATGATAAGCAACAAGAAGGAAATGACCTAATTTTCAAAGAACTCAAAGCTCAGTACCAGAAATATAATTGATGAATTTGGCAACCAAATTTGGGAAATGCTAACTTGTAGGTCGATCGAGTTTTCAGGCAATGAATTAACTCACCACAAACAGGGGAAACTGAACAAAAAAACCCCATGTTTCTACCTTGCATTCTCCAGTTGATGGAGTTTCAGGGGGCCGGAAAAGTATAAAAGAGAGGAGTGGCAACTTGCTACTGGCATTTTAGTAAAAT